ATATTTTGTATACATTCCTACTTTTTTATTTAGATATATGAAAATTAGCTATATTTTGTGTATAGTACTGCTTTTTTATTTAGATATATGAAAATTACCAACATTTTGTGTATATTTCTGCTTTTTTATTTAGATATATGAAAATTAGCTATATTTTGTGTATATCCCTGCTTTTTTATTTAGATATATGAAAATTAGCTATATTTTGTGTATATTCTTTCTTTTTTATTTAGATATATAAAAATTAGCTATATTTTGTGTATATTCCTGCTTTTTTATTTAGATATATGAAAAGTAGATATATTCTGTGAATAGTACTGCTTTTTTATTTAGATATATGAAAATTAGCAACATTTCTTTGAATTTTGACAAGAATTTCGAGATAAGCAGTAGGAGCACCAGACCAGATATGGCAGCAGTATTCAATGCATGGATGAATGGTAGATTATAAATGTGTATGATGGATTCTGATGACAAAATTTTTTTTTCTAGTATGACACAGTAAACCAACTTTCTGAGCAGTAGACATAGCAATTGATTCAATATAGTTACTCCACTTCATATTAGTGGAAAATATGAGGCTGTGGAGGTGCAAAGTGTTGCTCTCTTGGAGTTTAGCATGAGCCATGCTGATGGCAAACAGAAAAAGTTCTATGTCGTGATTAAATGAAAGCAGTTTTGTTTTGAAGGCATTAAAATTCATAAGCTACTTTTTACCCCAGTTAATCACTGATCAGAGGTCCTTTTTGAGAGCAGTTGCCAGGTTTACTTTGTCAGATCTGTCAGACTTGCTACTAAGACAGGAGTAAATTTTTAACTTTTCACCTTACAGTATATGTACATTTTTATTATTTTGATAAAAATAATAAAAATGTACATATCGGACAAGCTGTAAAGTCCAAAATGCATTCAAATGATTGAAATACTTCAAATTTACTTATCTTGTAAGTTAAAAACTCTAAAATATGTTAAAATGATAGTAAGGTTAAAAATGTGCATGACTTGCAAGTTGAAAATTATAAAACATGATTATATTGTAAAAATAATTGTTGCAATTTGAAATAATTAAAAGGCAACTTGAAAAATCCAAGAAAATGAAAATATAAAAAATGTATATGTGTTGCATTTTGAAAATTCCTAAATTTTTTATTAATAATTAATAAAAAATATACTTATTATTTTGAAAAAGTCTACACCTGTTTTAAGCTATTATTCCAAATTTTCACACGTGTTAACTATAATGCCCTGTGAAACAATAAACCTTCTTTCACAGTCTTTCAATACAAATTAAAATGTCTAATTGATAAGATTGATAATATCATATGTGATCAGTTTGTATCATGAACTTCTCATTTATTACCATTTGTAATGGTCAAAATATGATAAAATTGCCAACTCCTCCGAAGTTGAAATGATCACAATGTTATAATGATAAAAATAATAAAAATATATACATCTTACAATTTAACAATTCCAGTAAGTATTCCTATGATGAGAATGATAAAAATATACATATCTTGTTAGTCGAAAAGTTCAAAATCAGTTAAAATAATAAAAATGTTATCTTGTAATTTGGAAATTGCAAAATTGTAAAAGTGTTCTTCTCTTGCAATTGGGAATGTCGAAAATATGTACATGTTTCAATTTGAAAAATTGAAAGTGTGTTAAAATGAGAAAATAAGAAAAATTACATATTTTGCAATTCAAAAAGTCCAAAATGTATTAAAATGAGACAAATTATAAAAACAATCTTAGATATCTTGCAAGTTGAAAGGATTGAACTATGTCATAATAATGAAAATATATATGCATATATTTTGCAATTTTAAAAGTCAAAAATGTGTTAAAATGAGAAAAATAATGTACATATATTTCAATCTACCATGTTGTAAATATGTTAAACAGATAAAAGAAAGAAAAATGTTCATATTTTGTAATGTGAAAAATGAAAAATGTGTTAAAATGTAAAAATATGAAAAATGTGCATGAATGTTGCTACTTCTGTTAGTTCTAAGCATTTAAGAAATTGATTTTTTTCAAGTTAGTCTTTCACAATTTCCCATTTTTCTATCATTTCCTTACCTTCAGAATAAAACAGCAATTCTGAACAAGCTTCAGTTATCCAATTATTACAAATATTTTTAAGTCTATGGATATAGTCAAAAACCATTTTTACTTGTTCAGGATTTATTTTCAACAGCATCAAATTTATTGAAATAAGCCTGATTTATATAATTATTGTCATATATAACTGCAATCACATGCACATAGTTGATTAAATTAACAATTCATGTCACCTTTTATATAAAAATTCTGAATTCAGTTTGGCAATCATAATACTCAAATTTTGGTCTACTATATAAACATTTTATCATGATATCCAGAACTGTTATTGCTAATTTCTCAGAATTTTCAGCAAAACTATGCCTCTTACTTGATAGTGTAAAAATACTTTGATATGCTTCATCAACTAAAAGGATCATTTCTTTATTCACCACAAGTTTGCTAAAAAAAAATATTAAAATTAAATCATCTAATTTGGATACATTTGAAATTAGAGCCTCAAGTGTTCATGTACTTGTAATTATCTTGGAGTTTGTTATACAGAGACCTAGATGTTAAAAAATATTCAAATGCATGAACAAGAAATTCTGACTCATATGACTTCAATAAGTTTTTTAAACTTTTGATCAATCACCAATGGAACATATTGTTTCATCAATCTCTGACCAGTACTGAAAAATAGTTACTCTGTTTTTGGGAAGAGAAATAATTGATGTCTGTATTCTGGCATGATAGCATTTTGAGTCCAGTGTTTGAAAAACTTCAATTAATAAAACTGGTATATCTTCAGTTGAAAAACTGGATGAACAGCTGATTCTTTGATTTATAGCATATCACTGCTGACACAAAATTCTGATGTTCAATATTGACACACAAATTGTCAAAATTTATAATTCTGTCTTTTTCAAGAAATTGTGTTAACTCATCATTTTACTCTGTTCACACGCAGGCAGAAGTTTTTCATTATTCTTGGTTTAGGTGGAGGATTTGTTTTAGGTTATATAACTGTAGTTGAGGAAGGCTGAAGGGGTGAAAATTTGACCTTGTACAAATATTCAACTTATTTGCAAAGAAAAAAGTAAAAGAAAAGAAAGCAGATAAAGTATAAATCCCAAATTTTTATATTCCAGAAATTGTTGATTGATTTACAAAAATTGTTTCTTTTTTTTAGGTCAGTTTCTTCTTATGAAGACAGTTTTTGTACAACAGGAATAAATCTTAATTTATATAGATTTATAAATTTTTTCTTCACAAATACTGTAGTATTTGTGAAGAAAAAATTTATTATTTAAAAGTATTTTTTTTGCACTTGTGTAGGACAATGTCTCCGTAAAATGTACATGGACATAATGCAAAATTCTGATGTGCTGGAATAATTCTGAGTACATTTAGTTGATTTAAGTCTAAAACACGTGCTTTTACTTTAGTAGCAAATTCCTTGTTATCCAGCATAATTAATATAAACATTTACTGAGTGAGTGATGGCCTGCAAGAAGTTCATTTATTAATAAGGTCATTCTTTCTTTACTACATTCTTTAATCAATATTGTCAAATTAGCTCAAGAGAAAACTAACAGCAAAATGAATCCATATAAACATTTAGAAAAACTTATTTCATTAGAAATTGGTTTTCATAAAGGGGAATCACACAAAATTAAAATTAAAAAAATAATTATATAAATAGTACAAATATGAAACAAGACTAATAGTAAGTAGTAAATGTTAAATAATAGAATAAAGTGAATAGTAAAAAGTTAGAATAATAAAAATGCTTTGCTGATAACTTATTGAATTCTATATTCACTGGTTTTTATTTATCTCAATATGGTACTATAAGCAAAGATAAAATTCTAATATCAAAAAAAAAATAGTAATTTTTCCCAGTTTAGAACAAGTATCTAATTCATCTATAGTAATCACGAACAAAAATCACAATTACATGAACAAGGGAGTTCTCTCTTGATGCAACAAATTGTTAAAAGATATATTTTCATGAAAATTTTTATTTTATGAAACAAAATACCCACTATCATTATCAATTAAACTATAAGTTTAAAAGTAAATCTTTTTATCATGTGACCTAATGATAGAATTTTTCAAAATTTTAATCAATCATTTATACAATTTTGCTTTTAAATTGAAACAAAAACATATTTGACATGTTTTTTTGTGTTTAATTAATATCACTTGAATTAAAATAAATTTGAGATTCTTGTTGGTTCATTTTCTTTAGTATAGTCTATAATTAATTTGTGAGAATATGAAATAGGAAAATATTTTAAAAGTGAAATAATAAAATACACTAAGGCAAAGGTCAGATGAGACTTTTTGTAGGATCAAGTTAGCAAAAGCAATGATACATTACAAGTCATTAAAATCAAAACTGGATAAAAGAAAGTAGATGGCATAAAAAGCAATTTTGGATAAAGTAAATAGATGGGTGATCACATGATTCAAATATCATACCACATGAAGCAGCACTGTATTCTGAATGCAAAAAAAATGGACAGAATGAAAAATGTGAAATAAAGATGATACAAAAAAGTAATATGACCTAGATTCTATTTGGTTTTAATTTTTAATATAATTTCTTTCGTTATTATTCAGTTTAAATAGTTTCTTAAAATCATAACCTTCCAAAAATACAATCATGCCATTACACATAAATGTCTTTCTCCCGACATATCCAGATCCTCACCCACTGAGGATCGAACTTGCTATTAGTAAATGGTCTTCCAAATTAACTTCCTTAAGTATTTGCATGTATTTGTATAGAAAAGGGCAAGTAATTCTAGTAAAAAAACTAGGGGAGTTAACTATAGTCAACATCCGGCGACCAAATCAAATCGCCATTTTGTCAGTCATAACGCCTAGAAGAGATGGAAGTAACTGTATTGTAACTTACTTTTCTTTTCTTTTATTTTTTCTACCCTCCAATGTTCGGCAACTGGCAACAAATGGGCATGGGGGGTGTTCCCCCACCTTTCTTTGCCCAGCCCAATATGATGTATCCGATGTACCCGGGATCTCAGGAGGCAGCGGTCGCAGCCGCTGCGGCTGCATCAGCCAGTGGGCCACCTCCTCATCCTCATCAATGGGGACCTGGAGGACAATTGGCTCCTATGGTCTTTCCCACCATAAACCATCCTCCTATAGTGCCCTCCGCTAGTAATACTGTTCTTGAGCATGGTTCTTCAAGCGTTGGAGAGGTTGATTCTTCAACGGTCAGCGGCGGTACGACTCCAGCCCCTCCATTACCTTCAAATCCAGCACCTCCGGCTCCTCCAACGGAAGAAAAACCTCCTTTACCTCCGGATCCTCCACCACCTGATGAAGACTCCAAGGTTTGTAAAATTAGCCGTTTTTCACCTCTTCATCTTTACAGATCGTTAATCAGTTTTGGAAGAGATTTGTAATATATATATCGCACACACAGACCATCCTTTTTCTATTTCTATTCTTTTCCCACACGCATATTACCTCAAGACTCCTTCACTTTTAAAATGAAGGTTTTTTTGTTTTTTTTTTATTTCAAAAGAACTTGACAGATGATGATCAAATAAAATGTCTAAGGAAATTTATCTTCGTCTACTTTTATAGAAAAATCTATATTCTATTTTTTTTTCTTTTAGAAACTGAATAAATATCTTATTCTTTTACCATTGATCATTAAATAAAATGAACCCCGACTTAATATCCACAACAAACACTTTTGTACTCCATTTAAGTAAAAATAAGGTTTTGGTAGTATAATTCTTTGTTAAAATTTGGTACCGCAAACGTAAATATTTTCGAATAAAGGTATGAAACTATAAAATCAAAGGAAACTTTTCATTTAGGTAGTGTTACGTTTGAGTTGAATGATTTCTATTTTTCTCATTGTTAACATGATAAAAAATTTAAATAATTCCTGTAGTAGCCAGTAATTTTTAACTATATTAGTCTTCTTTCGTTTTTAAACATAAGACATTTTCACAATTTGGATTTGTAGTAAAAAGCAGTAAACAAACGATTTAAATAAATTACTTTTTTGTTCATAAATGTCGTTTTCAAAATATATTTCTAAATTAAAAAAAGGATTATTAAAATTTAAAATATCTAAAAAAAAAAAAATTTTGATTTTTAAAATGACTATTTTTTTTTTATTTTGTAGATGACCTATGGTTTATTCCTTTTTTAAGTAAAATAACTAAGTTATAAATTCGCACTTGATTCATTAACTACACAACAAAACTAAGCAACATTTTTATTTTAAAATTTTATTTAATCATCGATAAAGTCTATTTTTTAAAATAAGATACATAGGTTAAAAAAGTGTAAAATTGTATATCATTTCAATTCAAAATGCATTTTGCAAAATAATACAAAAAAAAAACTTTATGCAAATTGTCTTGTTCATAACTTTTATTCACATTGTTCGATTTATTTTATATTACTTGTCATTGCACGAGTGCAAAGGTTAATAAAGTAACCAAGTATTTAAAGAAAATTTTTGATCTGTTATTAGTAACACAGATTATGAAGTTATTGACATAGAAAATCGACATGAACGTTTGTTCATTCCGCAAAACTAGAAATTGCTTTGTTGTGTCATCAAGACGTAAAAATTTTATGAATTTCTTCTTTTCTTTAGTCTTCTCGATGTATTATGGGAGCAACTTAAATCATCGATATCAAAATCACTTCAGAAAACCCTTTAGAAGTTTCTATTGTGCGTTAAGTTTCACGATTCATGTGTATTTTTTTTTTTTTTTTTTTTTAAAGAATGACTCCAGACACTGGATGACCAATGAACAAATATGGGGGATAGAATAAAAAGCATGTCGAATTAAGCAAAGGATTAAAAAATGAGTAATAATCACATACTCATTTTTTAATCTTTCGCTTAATATCGGTTATTCATTTTGGTATTCACAATTCCTTCCAAAAAGAACAATAATAAAAATAAATGTAGTTTAAAAATAAACTATTTTTAAGTAGAACGAAATATTTTTTTTTTTATTTTTTTTTTTCATGAAAATTAGTCTTTCTTTGGTATCGTGGCGGATTATTTGAAGAAAAAAGACCTTAAGTTTTCCTTTCTTCAAATATTGAACTCCAAATAAACAGTAAAGTTCAATATTTAATTTAATGTGTAACTAAAGAAAGAAAATGTAACTATTATTTTAGAAATTTAAATATTGTAACAAACAAAAATAATACGCATTATTAAAAAAATACTTTTTAAATGTCTTCATTATTAGACCATATCATCAGATCAATCAGACAAAAAAGAAACCCCCCAAAAAAACAACATTAACAGTTTTATCTTCTACATAGGTAATGGCATTCCTATGCAATTGTGTTCAAGATTGCACAACATTGGTGATAGAAAGTTTTATGTACAGGCTACCAAAAGGTAGAGGAATGTGTATTCGTAGAGTTGCTGCAAGTAAATGATCCCCAATGCCTTCTATTGACACACCTAGAACTACATTTGCTCTGATTTTTGTTGTAGATGCCATGAATTGATCTAGGCAAATATCTGTACTACATGTTCATTCAGAGCATAGTCTACAGGTCTGGGAATGTCAAGTTGACTACTTTTGTTAAAACTAAAGCACTACTGACTCTCCACATTCAACATATGCAACTATTTTCTGAAATGACCATACAGCCTCTTGATGGCCTACAATCTGACTCTTCTCAAATGACTAATCAAACAAAAGGTGCATGTTTACATCTTCTAGACTTATACTGAGTCTTTCACCACAGTGAATTTTATTGTAGCATGCATCACTATCTAAAGCTCAGACAAAGAAGATGATGAAATGGCATGAGTGTTACTATGCCACAGACTAAACATTTTGATCAGAATATCTACAACTTCTAATATGCTCATAATGTACTCTGGTCAAGATCATCTTTCAGGATGTTGAGATTTTACTTTTTGTTAATATATATCTCTAAAAAATGAAATTAATATTTTGAGATTTACCAATTATGATGACATATTAACAACAACACAGATGAAGTAAAAAATATGAGAACAACCTCTGAAAATAACTCTCTCCTTAATTTCACATAAGCACTAAACATAAATAAGAGAATCTCCTTTATAGGCACATTAATTGATTCAAATAATGAAAACTTTAGAATCTCTGTTTATAAAAAAAAAACATTCAACTCAAGCTGATGACAACTACAAAAGCCAATGCCCACACATGCAAAATAGCCATCATATATCACCTAATAAAGAGAACATACTTAATATCCTCTACATAGACAATATTTTTTTAACTAAACATAAAACATGTTTAAAAACAGACATTTTAAAGGGTGTATATTTACATAATATATACAAATATATTAAAACAACGGGGAAGGAAGAGCAAAGATAAGTGAAAAAAAACTCACCATAAGTAGTGAATTGAAAATTATAACAATCTTTTTTAAAGCTAACCATTTATAACTCCTTATTCTTCAAGACAAAACATAAATATACACAACAACTAAAAATGAGCAAAGAAAACATATACTATCAGAGAATCAGCAATATTAATCACAGGCAAATTACATCATGATCCAGCAACTATTCTACTTAGAGAGGAAGTGTTACTTAGACTTAATGTACAGTGTCTCAAGCACTTTCAGATGGTACTGACTACTGTGAAAAGATCTCTGGTAAAAGACAAGATGCAAATTGGATTATTTATTAGGTGTTCTGCAATCATAGAACCAAAAGTATTAACAAGCATGTGCAAATATTCATACTGCCCTCTACACTTCTTAGTTGGTATGTGTTGATCATTTCTCACCTCCAACCTCTGATTAGTTCTGTCAATATATTCAGATTTAAATTAAGTATCATTTAAAAAATTTGTTGTTTATTTACAATAATGAATACTTTTTCTCCATAAATTCATCACATAATAATTTTGCTTTATTCTAGGAATATTTAAAAATGAGTAAAATACAGGGTGTCTCTGAAGTGCCTTCCACATAATGGTTAGACATTAATATCAATTGTCTTCATCTAGCTAATATCTTACCATTATGTTGGAGGTATTTCTACTGCACAATGTATGACAAAGACAAATTCATTTAAATATTTGTCCTGTCCAAAATATGTGTATAAATAAATTAAATATTTAAAAATGTCTTCTGTATTAATTCATATTACTCATTTTATTTTCATTACCCCAAAAAAGACCATCAATTTCATAGCTTTAACTGATTTCAACATTAATTAATCCTCTTAAACAAACCGATTGACTTGTCAATCATTCATTATCATAAACAAGCAACCATCAAATTAATCAGTGTAATTTTTAGATGATGCATAATTTAAGAAACACGCCATTTAGATATAATAGTTGTCTCCTTTTTAAATTTTCCACATTATTTTTGGTGAAATGAACCATCTGATGAAGATTTGATTTAATGGTCCAGTTTTTGGACAAATGATATTTCACTGCTATGTACCAGACCCATCTAGCATCACACAGACATCTAAAATCTTAAATCGCTGAACTAACATGATGTCAAAGCAGAACATCTTTACAAGTTGATTTCAACATAGGTTGGGAAGTGAAAGCAAGCTAAAGATTTGCAAAAAAATAATACAACTGTGCACAGAGATTTGCCTAATAAATTTTGTGCTAACTTCACCAATCCAAAGTAATCACAAATAGATAGGACATTTTTCTTGGCAATTTGGGTTTATTAACTTGTACAACTTTAACATGAATGCAAGATTAGATACTCTCTTGATATCGTACATTTTCAACGAAAGCCTTCATATTAAATTTCAGAATTTAAATTTTTAGAACCAGAAGCGTAAAAAAAATCCTTGTGCACCAACACATCCAGAAAAGGCAAAACTGCATTGATCTTCTTTTGACATGTAAACTTTAACACTGGATTCAATTCATTCAACAATCAATGGAAAGCATCAGACCACTTCTCAGTATCAAATACACAAAAAGTGGCCTTCTATATCCCAGTAATAACACTGAGGATTTTCTATATGCAAATTCTGTTCATAAATCCAACAAAAATTTTGCTCATAACAAGAAACAATGGTCTACTCATAGCAAATCATTTATTTGTTCATACATCATATTGTCAAAACTGAATTTGCCACCATATTGGTTATTTTATATTTTTTTATTATATTATATATATGTAAAATTTTGTACCCCCACAGATTATTTAAATATTAATTAATAAGTTAAACTAACTTTGAAAAAATAAAAACAAATTATAATAAAACAATAGCTGCAAAAACACTATCAAACTATTTTATAGGAGCCAACTACACAGTAACCATAAACTAGATTAAAAAAATATAAGAAACCCGATACATCTAATGGTAAACAAAAAAACTAAAAACCACCACCATGATCACCACTAGTGATACATCAAAAATAGTCAAAACTTTAACAAACTAATGTTGTTTATAAATCCACTTTCTCCCTTTGAGAATGTTTGTCTAATAATAATTCAAACTATACATACATTAGTTTCACAACCATGAACATCATCATTATTTATCTGATAATATTTCAACAAAATCACATATCACCAACTAGCACAACAAAAAAAAAAGAAGAAATCTGACAAATCCTTAGCAATAACACAAAAATACTATATCACATAAACTGTATTAAAAAATACTACAAATACCAGATGTATTAAGCATAAAAAACAAACAACCCAACATCAAGAAAATTTAGTAACAAATGTTCTTAATATATTTCATTTGAAAAAAATCAGATGGCACAAAGTGATGCAACAAATCAATATTTGAAAATTATGAAACTAACATAGCACAAAAAACTCTTATAAAGCCAAAGTAACCAGGACAACTTTAAATATAAATGAAGGAAAATGTAAATTAGTTTGAAATATAAAAAATAAATTAAAAAACTTAATAACAAAGAACTTTTGTTGTTCTTTAACCAAGTGTGTATGTGTTCTGCACTGAATAGTTAATTAATGTACAACTTTTCAAACTACAGTTAAAAAGTGTTCAGTGATAACAGAATTTTGTTAAGGAAAAAAAATATAATAATAAAACATAAAAAAATGTATATTACTACCACTACTTTCAATTTCATCAAGTTAAAGGGTTCATTTATTAATTTACATTAATATTATCCCCAAAATTCAGTGTTTAGAAATTCCTTAACAAGTTCAAGTATGTTTTAGTCAGGTGGTGTATTAGCTAATAAATATGTTTTTGTAGTTACTATTTAATATCTTTTATCTAATAATTAAGCAGGATTGAGGATATTAGTATTGCAAATCTCTCCTTTTGGTACAGCCTACAAGATTTCACCTCTCAGGGTATGGTTTTTACTTTTTTCACTATACAGGAATCCTTTGATTAATGCATTTTTGATTAGTGCATTGAAATTTTTTAATTTTTTTTTTTTTTTTTTTGATTAGTGCATGCATAATACTTGAGTAGTGTGGTAAAACATTTTTCAGTTTGACCATAGTAATTGAAAATTGATTTTTTTATAGTTACCGATTAATTAAAAATTTTCTAAAATTAAAAAATGGAAAATGGGTAACTATTTTGTTTATATTCAATTAATACATTTTAATGTACACATTAGCCGTACTAATCAAGGGATTCTGCTACTCTATTCAATATTCAGGTTCAAACTATTCTTTTTTTTTATTTTTGAAACATATTTGAACATGGTTGTTCTTTTACTATATTTACTTACATTTAATGTCTTTTTTATTGTAATACTTGAATTGATATTCTTTAGAACAAATATATATCATAAGGAGGAGGCCTTCAAATCTGTCCACCACTTTATAAATAATACTATTTGTTAGGCAATATTTATTGAGGTTAATTTTTTCTATTTCACATTTTTTTTCACATTTACAGTTAGATGTATTAGTAACTGTTTTACTATTTAACACTTTTTTTCTTATGCTTTTTAATAATTCACTCAAAATAGAGCATACAACTCTAACTTCTTTTTGCTGTGTTTCTATTGAAAATTTTGTGAACCATATTGTTTAAAGGAAAATGTAAATGTAATATATAGTGAAGGATATTTTGCAAATCTTCATCTTTACCTGCAAGTTGAAAGGTGGAGTAAACAGAATTCTTTTTCTTTTCTTCTTTTTCTATTGCGACTAATTCAAAACTTAAAAATAGTCTTATAGCCCTCTCTTTCAATGCTGATTGGTATTCATTTTCAACATTTTAAAAATATTGACAATAGATGAATTCCAGAATATGTTTTACTCTTTGTTCAATGATGTTTTTGTTGTTTTGATTTAGTATTAATATATTTCAATTCACTTATTTTTATATGCTGTTACTATTTCACTTTTTTATATGCTGAAATGAAACAGTCTTTAAGCCTGTTTGGGCTATAATTTCAAACCCCAAGTCTTCAAACCTCTTGAATATTTTTTTCTCACTGAATCAATGTTTCCACCATTACAGTTTTCTGTTATCTTGCATAGAACTACTCTTATTTTATTTCTTGTTTTGGTTTCATGTTTTAAGATATATATATATATATATATATATATATATATATTCTACATTTTCTCTTTATCTCATTTAAATCAGTAAAGCAATTGTTTTTTATATTAGTAATATATACTGTTTTATTTCCAGCAAGAGCTAACTGCTAAGAATCCTGAAGAAGAGCAACGGATGGAACAGTTGAAGCAACAGGCTGCTCAATGGCAACAACACAAAAAGCAGTTAGATGATGCTCAACAGCAATACCAGTATCAGTTGCAGCAGCAACAACAACAGTTTCATCAAATGTGGATGGCTACCCAGTACCCACCACCTCCAACTGATCACTTGATGACAGCACCACCTCCACTTCCTCCTAACACTGCATCTGTACCCCCACTACCTCAGCATGCAGATCTTGCCTCCATGCCACCCATAGGAGGAGCAATAGGCTCCCAGGTAGCAGCTCTTCCACCTGGAACATCATCATCTTCATTATCTTCCTTAAGTACAACACATCCTGTGCCAATGGTTACAGCTGAAGAACCTACAAAATCTGTAGAGAAAATGAAATCTCCAGATAAAACTGACACATCTGCCATCAATAAGTCAAAGATGGGTTTTACTAATAAAGGTAAATATTTTTCTTTTGTTGGTATTGTATATGATGACATTGCTTGAAAGTATATAGGTACTGCTGTGGTAGGGAACTAACAGAATTGTGTTTGTTATTGTAGTAGTAGTAATAGTAGTTGTAGGAGCTAGTAGTATGTAGAAAAGGTAATGAAAGTGAAAAAGAGAGGCAGACGAAATACTTTTTTTTTTCAAAATCATTGCAACATGTCTTGAATTGGTTCATTACACTTAGGGGAAAACAAAGGAATTTTGTTTAGCAATTGACACTAATGATGAATGGTCAGTTGATTTAATCACTGAGAAATTAATTAAAAATTATAAAATAATTAAAAAAAAAAAAAAAAAAGAAACAAGGTTCAGACAACAGTACCAATTTTACTAACAAGTTTTGGAGCTCATATCAGAACTTCTGGATGGAGACACACAGTTCTTTCAGAAAGAAAACCTGAACTCAATCAGAAGCAATGCAGAATATGTCAAAGTACAAAACACTTGTTTCTTAACTACCCAACAAGATTTGCCATGTCTGTAATGCACACAATGTTTGGAATAAAAACTACCCTAATTTTCTATATGGTTCAATTCCATTGTTATACAAATCAAACTAGAGGGTTTATCTAGTAACATTATATTAAACTTGGGAGCAGCTGTATCAATTATTGACTTAAGAACATTAAAAATTTGAAACTCATAAAAATGAATGTTTCAAATGAAAACCTTTGGTAATAACATACCTAAGTTTTGATAACTTGGGTAATAACATACTAACTTTTGAAGGTAAATATTTTTAACATCTGTGCAACAAAGGTTTCAAATCATTGAGTCTGCATACTTTTGGGCAGAGACTTGAAAAAATGTTTGGCTGAGTAAGGTTTGAAATCAAAAGGACTCCTATAAAAGTTATCTAAACACAGACAAGCTGAAATAAAAATATCAACATCTGGATTGCTGAAAAAATGGTAATTCTGAAAAACATATCTGAATGTAATACAATGCCCAAACTGCATTCTTAGGAGATTTTGACCCCCAAAAAATAGGGATCTATGCAACCTGAATGCACATAATTCCAAATTCTTCAGAATAGGTCTAATAAATATTTCAGCTGAAGATGTAATTTTGGCTGCACATGAACCATTTGAAAAGTTATAAGTAGCTGTAAATACAGCCACTATTTCCTAAAAATATTCACTCATTTGACTGTAGTATCCAACTTTTAATTGATGAAAAACAACAATTAATGTCCATAATTTCTCTAAATATGAAATTATATTCACACAAAATCACGAGGAACTTTACAGGAACAAAATAATTACTGAAAATTCAAGGCTTATTTATCAAAATCCATGTTGTGTACCAACCAAATCACTAAATTTAATGAGAGACATTTGAATTCAATGTCATACCATATAGCTTATTCAATGCAAGCGTTTTTTATAAATGATTAATGGATATTTATCTCTCAAAAATTCTTGCCAACATTACATATATAGACAACATTACTAATTTCAGCAGCATGTTTAAAGCATTATAGAAACTGTATTCATTAGTCATCATATTGAAGTAATTGAAATGTGCATTAGACAAAGAAAGGTTGGAATTCTTGGGATGCAAATTGTCTGTGGTCAATATCAAGCCACAGAAATATCTCTTCAACATAATATATAATTACAAACATCCAAAAACAAAAAAAATGCTTTGGATTAGCAGGATTTCATAAAAAATATTGACGAAATCTCCAGGCTATTAAATACACTAGCAAACAAGTAGTATACCAATGGAACACTAATTTGAAAGGGCGTTTAGTACATTGAAAAACAAATTATATTCTGAACCTGTCCTGGCCTTCTTGTGATGAAGATGAACAATTTATTGTCAAAAGGGATGTAACAGATGAAAGGGTACTTTCACCAGAGCAACAACAGCACCCATTCTTTGCCTATTTTCTACCACTCTATCAAAATGCTAACTGAAATGATTCACATGCAGTAAGAAAAACTCTGTTGATGGTTGTATGAAATTGGCATGTTTGTCTTGCCAGAGTTTGGATTAGAATCTGCTCATAGTCTTGGTTAATTTAGTTAACCAGAAGGATGCAAAAGGAAAATTTGTAAGATCGCTGTTACAGCTTAAAGAATACAGTTACACCATTGAATACCTTCCTGATAAATTGAATGTAAAAGCTCATGCTTTGTGAAAAATATTAAGAGCCACATCTACAACAGATAATTTTGATATAATCTTTGAAGATAAGAATTATAATACCAAAGAAGCAATTAAAAACAGAACCAGCATTATCTGTGCTTTTATTCTTTAAAAAATTGAATAATTTATCCATGGGCAAGAACTTTTTCTCTTTTTCATAAGTAAAAAAATCATTTTATTCCAGTTATTTACAGCAATATCTTATTAAAAGTAGTAATTTTGCAACTTTGACTGCCCCAAGGTAAAAACTAAAATTGTACATTTCATCCCTTTGACATTACTGCAGTTTCTAGTTTGAAGAGCTCTCATTTAACATATTTTTGTATTCTGCAGCTTTTTTTTTTTTTTTTAATCATTTCACTCCAAGCAAGGCACTAAGACACAAGGGTTTTACTGAGTGTGAATAATATGAGAAAAAAAAAAAACATTATTAAGAAGAGAGAACAATAAAAACTAAAAAGACAGAAGATAATGATTAACATTGCATTTAAATTTTTGAAAATAATAGTTGACTGGAAAGCAAGAGGTTGGAAGAGAGTTTGAGAAGTGCATGGGAAGAAGCTGTTAACTTATAGTTATAGCTAGCAATTTCAACTGTAAAATGATGAAACCCAGCTGTCAATCTAGTACTGCACTTACATTTGTAAAGTCATGGTACTGAAGAGGAAATCTTATCAGAACAATTACCATTAAAATATTTATAGAAAATACTCCGGGAAGTAATATTACGGACGTGGGAAAGTGACTGAAGCCAAGACGTCAGGTCAGGATTGATAACATTGCAAATTCATCCTTTGGATTTTATCAAGAATTTGTAAAGCAGCAGATCAGATGGGACAGCAGTATTCAATGCATGGATTTATAAATTATATAAGATAGATTCTGGTGAAAAAATTGTCTAGCACAACACAGTGAATCAACTTTCTTAGCAGCATACCTAGTAATTGAAGCCTAACTTTCTATAAGTTTTTATCTTTCACCTAGTTAACCTAAGAGAAATTCTACATATAAAAATTTCAATAATGACAGTTTTGCTTCTAATTCAATGTAATTTGCTTTTATTTTCTGTTTTTATTTAAATTTCCTTAGATCCCCCAAAACAATCAAACTTTGATAAGAAAATGGAAATAACACAAAAAGAAGAACTGAAGAAAGTGGAAAAGGAAGAAGAAGAATTCAACCGACAGTATATACAGTGGAAAAAACAATATGATGAGTGGCGTGACCAGAACAGAGGTGAAATAATTTTATTGTTTAACTGCTACAAGAATGTTTGTGAAGAATTATAGAAATCTCTTTGAAAAATAAACATGGCAATAATAGCGGATATAAAAGTATAAAAAAATAGAAAAATGTTAGATCATTAAACTGTTCATTCTTTCGAAAGAAACACGAGATTAAAGTGGATAATGATATTGTTTTCTTTTGTCTTTTAAGTGTTGTAAACTCATTAAATGAAAATGAATGGAAACGTTAATTATTTGATTAAAGAAAAAAGTAAAGGTTTAAATAATTTATATATTAAGAAGACAATGCTTGTAGATTTGGTTCAGTGCTTAGCTGTAAGAACTGGTAATAGTGGTGTCAGTTGTCTATACCAAAATGGTTTATTGGTTGTGCCTGTTCATTCAAGAATTATCTTGGAAAATTTTTTTATTTCAAACTAAGACAGGACGACAATGACTGTTCAGGTCCTTGTGAAATCTCATCCAAATCATCGCATATGTTGCTAATGTTCATTTGTGTATTAAAATTATAACAATTTGGAGAGTTATTCTTTCTACTGATTGTTTATTTATCCCAATAGCACACCACCATTACTTAATAACAGAATATGATACAATTCTGGAATTATTGTTTCAGTTGCAATCATCTACTTTAAGAATACAATGAAAACATAAAGAATAATGAGAAGCCAGGTGCTATATTATTTTACTATTAGCCAACTTGTAGAGCAAGTGTCATCTGCCACCTGAAGTTTTTGAAAGTCAACACTGGACTTTACATGCAGAATACAATTGAAGTTGAATTCAAAGTTTCATTGAAGAAGACTAAAGTTGCTTTTAACTGAAAATTTTGTTCCATTGAACTCCACTCACAATTTTTTATGATATATTGATATCATAAAAAATTTCAATGTCATTTTCTGATATTTTATTGGTCAGAACTATCAACCAAGCTAGTGTCTGCTAAATAATGAAGTTACTTTCAAACCAATTTTTCATGTGTGGAGTCATCTGTAAAAATTAGTTTTCTCTCCTTTGATCTTCCTTAGATGTATAATGGCATTGAGACATTTTCAATTTTTCAAGAAAATTCAATGACATGTTTATATTTATAAGTAAACATTTTTATCATGTATATTG